CAATTTTACTCAGCGGTATTTCCCCAGAAGAAATGAAAATATACGTCTACACAAAGACTCATACACAGTTGTCGTAACAGTTTTATTTGTAACACCAAAAATGGGGTGGTGGAGTAGAGGTAAGTTGTGGTATATCCACACAACGGAATGCTGTTTGAAGTGCAGAAATAAGGTGAGTCTAAGATTTACGGAGCAAACCACTGATACACACAGCAACGTAGACAAATCACAAAAGCATTATGCCAAATGAAAAAAGTCATGCACAAAAGAATATACAGTGTTTGATGTCAACTTTACAATGTTTTGAAACAAAGAAAACTTATCAAAAGTGATAAAAATCAGACCAATGGTTGCCTGAGATAAGGGGTGAGAGTAATGAGTCCATAGGTGTACAAGGGAATTGTGTGGGGTGATGGGAATGTTCAATATTTTGGTTGGGGTGATGGCTACATGGGTGTATCCACTTATCAAGACTCATTAAACTGTAGACTTAAATTGGGAACATTTTTATTGTATGTAAATTATACTGCAATTAAGTTAATTAAAAAAATATGTACAGACCTGAACTGTAAATCACATAGACTTGGTTATAATTTAAAATTTTTCTCTATAATCTGATTTACTCTAATATGTAGTTTCTTATCTTAAATAGTAATACAAAACTACATGTCAGTTTAGCCTGTTAAACCATTAGAAATTCCAAAGTTGAAGAATTAGTTCAATGAAATGTTGAACTTTTGTTATAAAGAATTGCAGAATTTACTTTATCCAGTTGAATAGTTGAGTTGTATCCACTAATGCTTACATATAAATTATACTGCATGAGAAATCTGTTCACTTAAATATAAACACATTTGTACTTTAACAAAATGAATGCATCTAACCACACAAAATATTAGAGGAAGATCCAATTCTATTAAGTAGCAAAAGGCTGTGTTCTTCTTTCACCCACAAGGAGATAAAAGAAGTCATCAACTATTTTAGCCTGTCACCAGTGACACCTGAGAAGACAAACCACGAAAAGCACAATGAAATGAGATGCAAGAAAATTGGTACAATTTCATCTTTAGACCCACTTAAGGCATTAGTTTTATGGGATTTTCTCTCTCCTTCTGGCAATGTGGGAAAATGTTCACAGAGAGTTACAAGGGTTACAAGATGAAAAGCTGGATCTGAAAGAATAAAAATTGCAGATAACCTAATTAATCTGCTAATATTTATTGCAGAAATAGATTTAGAGGTAGTTTATTAATGAGGCATTTTCCAAATCATCCTACTCATTCTATTAAAATTTAAAAGCATCATCTTAAAAAAGAAAAGAAAAAGTACTTCAAAGAGTGTAAGATTAACATGTTGAAGTGGTTTCGAAAAAGCAGTGTTTCCAGTGTCCCTCAGCTTCCATTAGGGCAGCACTATCGTAAAACAAGCATATCAGCTCACTTAGACACAAGGAGAGAATTAATAAATACATCTCTGTGATGAGCAAGTTACTTTCATGTGCATGATCACTTGCAAATTAGACAAGAGCTACCTCAGCATAAACACTAAGGCTATGAGGTCTGAACAATCCAAACGCCTCCTAACGGTGGGACCAGTGTACAGTCTGGATTTTAGGGGACACACTGGGCTATGTTAAAGATGCACCTGCTTCCCCTTGGAATTAGTTCCAAAAAAAATCTTCCATAGGATCAAGTAAAAATATATTATCTCCCCATTTACTCTTCATTATTTTTAGCCTCGGAAAGGCTCATATATTGATCCACCAAAACAAAACTGGCTCTGAACCAAAAGCAAAAGGAAAGAAAGCCCAAAACAAAGAGTGTTCTAGAGTGTTCTGTGAATATCAGCTTGTGGCTTCCACATGAAAGTTGTCAAACTGTGCAGATTCAAAGGAGTGAGTTCCAATCGCAGCCCAGCCATTCCTCGGGTGATTCACAGGGATGTTTTCCCAGACAGACTTGTCATGCAACATGCCAGAGGAGAGATTGTCCTGGAGGAGAGAGAAATGCAACCCTTGGAGACATATGAAAATGACTTTCTCAAGTCTGTTTCTTAATAATGTATGACCAACCTGCTTAGTCGAGCAAATATCCTTCTTACTTAAGACTTGCCACAGCAAAACACAATTCCACAAGATGAGCTGAAGTTTGCAACACAGGAAAAGTTTTCTTGGAGGAAATTCTGTTTATGTAAGCAGCTTCCAAAGTACAAGGAGTATCTCAGTATTTCCTTGTACTCTGTCAAAGTGTTACAAAACTGACAAAAAAGTTCAACTTTTCATAACACTATTCCAAAAATTTAGACAAAAGCCCACTGAAATAAGAGGCATTTGTTATTTACAAGTAGTTGCGTGTGAACGTGTTTTGTGGCTATCTGCCCCTGGCTCTTCAGACGTGACTGCTGGAACCAAAACATCCATTTAGTTAAGTCCTTTCTCTCCCATGTGCCGAATATCACTTCGAAGTCATAGGAACAGCCCAGCCTTAAGCGAGAGAAATAGGAAGCATCAGTTAGCTGATGATTGTGGGGGGCGACAGAGGGGAAGAAGGAACATTCCATAGAAATGATTTACTGGTCGCTTACAGAGAAAAATAAAAACAATGTCTTCCTCAAACAGATGCCATTCCCTCTTAGCTAAGTGCTGGCATGCAGTGAACAAATTCCAGCTCTCGGGGTCATTGTCACGGCATGTTTGTGAGCACAGACTCATAGCATACCAATTAAAGCAGAACATTAAAATGAGCTAATTTCTAAGGGTGAAGAGCTAACCAGCCAAAGCACTAGGCTAGAACCAAACAAAATCTGTTTTTAAGTTGTGGAATTATAATGCCATGAGCCTTAATTTGGTTCTTTTATTTAATGGATGGAGATACTGAGACTGAACAGGATTAAAAATCAAAGTCATAGATTTACCAGCAGAGCTTAGAACTGGAATCCCAGTTGTCCAATTCCACCTTCAGGGCCACATGCATTCCCATCCCTACACTGAGCATCTTCGGACACTTTAGGAACAGTGAACATTAACACTGAGCCAGCCACGGGACTCACATACCAAATCATACTAAGCACACAAACCTGTCTGAAGGTACCTCACCTCCCTTCCCCTGCCCCTCGCTCCCCAGGCATCAGCCAAGTTGGCCTCCTGGCTACTCCTCGCACAAGGCCAGTCACAGATGGCTCTGCCCACCAGTCCCGTCTCAGCTCAGATATCACCAGCTCCAAGGGGTCTTCCCTGACCTCTCTATCTAGAGAACCAGACAGGGGAGCCACTTTATCTCATTATCCCACTTTTTTCTTCACAATTTTACTTACTTATTTACAAGTTTACTGTCTTAGAACAGGAGTCAGCCAACTATGGCCCACAATTATGGTATCATTAATATACAATCACATGAGCAACATTGCGGTTACTAGACTCCCCCCATTATCAAGTCCCCACCACATAGCCCATTACAGTCACTGTCCATCAGCATAGTAAGAAGCTATAGAGTCACTATGTGTGTTCTCTGTGCTATACTGCCTTCCCTGGCCAGTCACCCATTTTTATAAATAAAATGTTTTTGAAACACAGCCACACTCATTCATCTATCTATTGCCTACAGCTGCTTTCTCGCTGCAAAAGCAGAGTTGAGCAGTTTCCACAAAGACCACTAAAACTTTACCACCCAGGCCTCTACAAAAAGTTTGCCAAACCCTGACCTAAAAGAATATAGACTGTAAGAGAGCAGGAACCTTGTCTGCCTTGTACACCATACTGTATCCCTAGCATGTAGAAAAGTACCTATAGCAGATGCTTATTAAGAATGTGTCAAATAAAAAAATAAAACATTTAATCCTAAAACAACCTTACACAAGTTATCTCCTCTTTATAGATAGGGAAACAAGCTCAAAGAGATGAAGTAACTTGCTGGAAGCTTCAGTATGGGTCAGTAAGGGTCAATGAAAGTTGGTCTTTCTGGTTCTAAACATGCCTACTTCTAATATTAACTTGATTCATTCAGTGCTTACCGTATATCAGGTACTGTACAAATTTTCATATATATAATCTTATTCAATATTTATAAGACATTTCAATACCATGTATCTTCATGATACTATGGATGGGAAAACAGAAGCTGAGCAACATAAATACTTGCAAGTAGAATATAAAAGGCTTCAAACTCTACATTTCTAACCACCCTGCAACAGGGCTGAGGGTAAAGCACCTGACATGTGCTCGGAAGAACTCAAAAATGGCCAATGTTAAAATGATAAAGTCATCATATTTGCTGAAATTTAGAAAATGGACATCTTGGAAGATATTGTTTTGTTTTTCACTTATGCAGCAAACATTTAAATACCAAATGCTGTTCAATTTAGGAATTAAGGATGAACAAGAAAGACAAGGTCCCTCCTCTTGCAGAGCTGACATTCCAGTAGGAGACACAATAAATAAGAGCTAAGTGGTTGGAATGTGAGGAATTAAACAGGCTGCTGTGATGATAGGTGCCCAAGAGACTACGTTAGATTGGAGGGTTGGAGAAGACTCTCGGAGTATGTGCACATCGAGTTGAGATGCAAGGGAGAGGCAGAATGCCCATGGTTGACGGAACAAGAAATACTGGGGCAGGGAGTGGATGGCAGTGGGTGTAAGCCGGCAGAATCCCCATCCATCCCAGGAGTAAGGCCAGAGCTAATGTCTAAAAGTCATAAGTCACATTGTGTAAAAGGGATACTAGAAGAAACAGCTAAAATAGTTCCAAGTGGCTGTATCAGAGGAACTGAGCACAGAAGGGGAGGAAGAAGGAGCGAGCCACCAGGCAGGAGGTGGCTGTTTTTAATTATAAGCCCTTTCGATTTCTTAACCCTGTATGCAAAGTACCTGAAAATAACTGAAGGAAACTTATTCTTTAAATCCCATTCATGATTTCAAAAAATTCATATAATTACCAAAAATAATCCTAGCAAGAAATGTGCAAGAACTACAAAAATAAAAGAACTGAAGGACATAGTGGGAGATCTTAATAAACAGTGAAATATGGCCTGTATGGTTCCCGTGCTCTTGCATGGGGAAACACATTATTATTTTTAAAATGTTATTGTTGATGTATCAATTTAGTATAACACTGGCACCATTTTTCATGGATGTTTTAAAAATTCAAATAAAAGAGTAAATATACTGGAAGCACAAAGATAATTTTAAAAAAGAAAGAATGAGAAACTTGGCCCCCTGGATATCCAGTCACTCGCTCAGCAAGTAGTTGTTGGGCTCTTGCTCTGATGGTGTGTGTGCCAGACACTTTTCTAGGTGCTGGAGAGCCAGCAGTGAGACAGAGACCTGTCATCTTAAAGGAGCCGCGCCCTGGTGAAGGGAGTAGGCAAACACATGAACAATCAACAGAATATGCACAGTGTCAGAAGGTAATTAGAGCTTTGGAGAAAAATAAAGCAAGGGAAGAGGGACAGAGAGCAAAACAGGGAGCTATTTTATATTAAGGGGGTCAGGAGAGAATTCTGAAGGAAGGGACTAAACCATGCAATCAAAGATTTTAGAAAGTTAATGTACAGTGTGATATTGGATAATAATAGAAAAACAAAGCAATACAAAAACAGAGAAAAGTTCAGAAACAAGACTATGCTCATATGATGATTTGTTATATCAAAAAGGTGGCCTTTAAATCATGAACAAAAGGACACTCTATGTAATAAATGATGATGGCTCTCCATTTGCTTAAAGAAGATTATATTGGCCTCTCCCCCTTATGATTCCCAAATAAATTTCAGATGGATTAAAGACTAAAACATAAAAAAAAATAATCTTAAACTTTGTTTAAATTGGGGCAAAAATGTTCTTGACTAAAATATTAAATAAAAAAGCAATGAAAAAAATGAAATATTTCATAGTACCAGAATTTTAAACTTCTATTTATGAAACATGCCATAAGCAAAATTAAAATACACATGACAGAATGGAAGAAAATATTTTGACATATGAAACAAATAATGGGTTACTGCCCAGAATATATAATAAATTCATACAAATTCATCAGAGAAAGAAAACACAATTGGAAAATGAAGAAAGATGTGACGGGTAACTTCAAAGAAGAGCAAATATAATAAGATGTACAAATTCTCTAATTACCAAGGGAAATAAACTGTCTGTTTGAAAGAAAACTTAAAAATAGATAATATGAAGTATTAACATAATGCAAAAATTGATACAGTTTGACTGACGGTAGAGCAGTATGTGTTAAAATTTAAAATGCAACTCCACTTGTGAATATCTGCCTAGAAAGTCACACACACAGGCACCCTAAGCGGCATGTCAAGATCTCTCTCCCCTCTCGGCAAGTAAGCCAGTCCTTACTGCCTCAGTTCACTGCAAAAGGGAAGAACTGGGGACAAGACTGCCCATCAAGTGTGGTACAGTTTAAAAAAACTATGCTACATCCAAATCCGATATTCAATAAAGTCTGTTACTGACTGAAAAATTAGTATTGTCATTTTTGGTGATTCAGTAAGAGATGAGAACAAATTCAAAAAGTGATCTGAATTCTGGTTTTTAATATCTGTTCTGTTGTGACCTCAACAAAATGATGACAGGACTATCTTGGCAGAGGGCAGTATATTATGAATTTCTCTACACAGTATCCCTTAGATATCAGTCAATAACTCATGATCAACCAAAGATTTTTATAGATAATTTTAGATGCATGGTAGTACAATTAATCTGGTATCTTCTCTGACAAAAATATTCATAGAAACCAACTTCTAAAAAAATGTGCTTATAATTGAAAACCAAATGCTTCTCAACCATCCAAAATAAATTTATGTGACTTTGCTTAATACTATAAACTCCAACTATAATCTTGGTTCAGACCATTTTTATTGACAATTACTCCTGAGCTTAAAAAACAGAAACAACTTTTTAAAGAACAGTGGGATGATAAAGTCAGCTGCTGATGGTTCTCACATGCGCTCACTCTGACACACGCCAGGCTGGGCACTGCCGGTTTGCTGGTATCACAGCAGATTTTCTGCCTATTTCCACTATTGTACTCATCAGACTTTCCCCTCTCATTTGATAAGAGAAAATGCTAGAAAGGCACAGGAAAAGAACATTTTTACCTCCAGGCATTCTGATCAGCATTTCTTACCTTAATAGTGAGTGTGAGTGTATACCACTTTTTGGCCGTAACATCAACATGTCCTGAAGCATATATGAACCATCCAGCTGAAACACAAATAAGATTATCTTAATTGGTATATTTTAAAAATCTAAATCGTAGAATCACATAACTCAGTGGGGGTTCCCAGGTGGCATTTGTATTAAGTCTTAATAAATTTCTGTGTTTCCAGATCCAAACTGATTTCAAACAAAATGTCCTTCATTCAGGCATGCATTGCTCAGGCAAGCATGTACTGAGATCCCACTCTGAGCTATCTACTGTATGTGAGCTCACAAGACAATCAGTGAAGTAAACTTAGAGACCAACCGTAGTATGAGCTAGCTTCTATAGTTCAGGTATATATACATGATTGGATTGAATATTGAGGATAAGAAGTAGTCAAGGACACTATAAGATTCACAGCTAATGTAATGGATCACATGGTAATAGCATGAGCTGAGAATTAAAGAGAGAAAATAATGAAGTGATTTGGTGATGTTTTATATGCATGCCTGAGATAAACCCAGGATGAGATGTTGAGTGGGAAGTTTAAAACACAGATAAATGGGGGCCTAGTTTAATGATGCCGATTTAAACTCCTAGCTCCAGTTCTGCCGCTAACTCATTTTGAGACCTCAGACAAATTGATTAACCTTTCTGGCTGTCTGCTTTGGATTGTAAAGTCAGCGAGGTACCTTCTAGATTGGTCAAGGTATGATTATGCAATTCCTGCTCTAATGTTCTTATTTGCTCTTTAATTCCTATCTTATTTATGGAGCCCTTTTCCTCTTAGGAAGAAGCAAAGGGCAGCAAATTATAGGAGAGAAGATTTTTTTCATTAATGCAAGAGGGAAGTCAAGAGACAGAGAACCAACAAGAGTCACCACCAATAAGGTCAGGCTCAGTGGAGTGGTGTATATACCAAAGCCAAAGGGTATCAGATGGAATTCAACTGGAACTTATTCTAAGGATGCATTCTAGATAAAATACTTCTACATGAGACAGAGGCTGTCAAGATAGATGATAAAAGTCAAACGCTTTCAAGTTACTAACTTAATTAGGACATAGGATTTTCCCATTTTAAGCAGGTCCCTCCCTTTCCTTGCATTTCCATCAGCACCTGAGCAACTTTCTTACAGTCTAGCCTTTGACTTACGGTGCTTCCTGGGCATTCTCTCCCTATTACTACCACTCGCCCCAGCCTGTGCAAATCCTACCCTGGCAGCCTAGTCCAACTCTGTAACACCCAAAAACATTTTGTATGATTTTCTCTTTTACTGAACTGCCTCTCTCTGTACTAATTAACTGTACAATTTTGAATCTTTGGTATTTGCTTACATGTATTGAATCTCTTCCTAATTAGATGTCCAACACCTTGAGGTAAAGCTCTTTCATTACTCCCCTAGGTAACAAGCAGATGCTCACAGTAGCATACCACATAGTAGGCCATGTGCTCTAGAAGAAGTCACTTACCTAGATCCCTTGTAACCCTGTAGGTTCCATTTGCAAAAATCCAGAAGAAAACTCCCCAGGCACTTCTAATCAAGACACCACCTTTATCTACTCTTCCAGCAATGAAGACACCTCCCTTTTCAGGGTTCTCTATGTAAACATCACACTTTATCATCAGATTGGACCTGCAGAATGAACTTGTTAGTTAGTGCTTTCAATTATACCATTCTGAATGCAGCACAAATGTGTCATTTCACAGCCATATGCTTCCAAATCTCTAGTTGAGGGCACAATGTGATGTGCTAAGTCTGCACTCGTAGCAGAGATGGGCTTTGAGAATTTTCATTGATCAGATGGTTGCAAGTTTCATGTGACTGAAGTCAAGTTGCTTCATTGCCTCTTTTAATGAATTAGTGGAAAATAGTATGTACTGCTTTGAGTTTCTTAAGAACGTATTTCTTGTTTCTCTAAAATAAAACAACTTCTCATCCTAAGAATGTAATATTAAAAGTATCCTTTTCTTCCTAGGAATATATGAAAGGTAAGTGTCCACACAACTCCGAACAAATGGTTCATTAAATTTCCATCAGCAAAGAGAAGCAGTGAAGGCAAAGCCAGGAGCTTCTGGGAGAACAATAGCTACTTTGGGGCTAATTTTTACATTTAACCCTAACAAGACTTAAAAGCTCCAGAAGAAAGACCTAAAATTATTTCTCTGTAAAGACAGAGGCAACTTTCTGTTGACTCTACAGTGGGGGTTTTCAAATTTGAGCAGCACTGAAATCAGCCAGGGGGTCTTGTTAAATTCGGACTTCTGGTCCCACCCCACAGTGTCCTATTCAGTAGGTTTGGTACAGGTCCTTTGAATCTGCATGTCCTACAAATTCCCAGGTGATGCTGATTCCATTGGTCTGAGAATCCCTCTTGGAGAACTTCTCCCCAAAAGAGCATCTCTGTCTATAGAAAGGCACCAAACTGTGATTCTGGGATAACTGACAGGAATATAGTGAAGGAGGGAAAAGATTCAACCCTAAGAACTATGAGAGCTTTAACAAGGAGCTGTCGACCAAGCCTCCTTTCACAAGTGCTACTAGATAATTTGTGCAATGATAGAACCACCCCAAACCAACACAGTCTCTGAAAATAACTCACCTCCTACTCAAAATATAATTGCAAGTGGAAAAGAAAGAAAGCCTGCACACAGCCCAGTAGTAAATCAAGTGATTCATCTAAAATAAAACCAAGAATGCCAAGAAATATATTTTGGAAATGTGGGAAAATTGGATATAGAATTATGTGGTTTTCACATGCCATAGTGTTTCTTATCAGTGAATTTTATACAATGAAATTTTAGTATATAAAGTTAAATATAAAAATGAAGTACCTACAAGACATGCACAACAATCAGGAAAATCCACATTTAATCATCTAATCAAAGCTGGGCTACTATGCAGGAAAATCAAATGCTAAGTAACTAAAGCCCAGTGTCTCTTATATGTCCTCCCACAGTAGACAGAGCTTTTCTCTCTGCAGATGAACATCTGAATGAAACCACAAAGGATCAGCATTATTCTTATAGCTCCTCCTGTCCTTTAGGGTTCATCTAAGGCTTGAAAGTGCTACAGATACTGTCAGCACCATAAATTTATTCTGTTTAGAGTCAGAGTGAGAGAAGATCAAACTTCCTTTTTTATGTCACATTCCAGAATAAGCGATTCCTGCATCAGAACTTGCAGGCAATTTTACAGATAATGAATGAAATACAAAAGTTAGCTTTAGTCTTCCACAGCTATAATCTCTCAGTAGTACTGAGAGAACAAAAACAAGCCAATATATTAAGCAAATTGATCAAAGGGATGCAGAATTTAGATGTGTGCAGGAAAGGTAATTTTGTGATTGTCTTCAGATCCTAATCGAAGCTTACCCACAGGAAGAAAGGTCTTAAGGAACTTTGGTAAAGTCTAGCTTTTGCAGTCAAATTACTGTGCTGGTACTTAACTAAACCTAGCTTTGAGAGAGGAAGTTCTACCACAAACACTATTCTAAGAACTGATAGAACTGTGCCTGCAGTGAGAGGTGATATATTAAAATAGCACCATAAACTACACTACTTTTTCTCTTCCTACTATTAGGAAGAAGACAATGATTAAAATGAGGCTGTGAAATATACTCCAAAGAGTATGGGCTACAATGCCAAAGAAACCTGACCTCTTGCCCTGGTTCTGGAACTTACAGTATGGGATCTTGGGCAAGTCTTTCCCTGAAGCCTCAACTTCTCAGTCTGTAACGTGGAGAGGATGACCCTTACCCCATAAGGTGGTTATGGGATGCATATAGCTGGCTAGGGATAACCCAGTTTTCATTTTCTCCTTTCCCCACAATAAGTGGGCAGTGCAACTGGAGAACAAAAATGAACATGGGATGTGTGTGGATCTCTGAATAGATCTGGCTGCCTCAAATCCAGGATGAAACACTGGGAATTAGCACATAATAAATAAGAGGAGACCAAATGTGAAAGGGTCTTGGAAGTCAGGCACACAAGTGTAAATCTGGTTCAGTAGCAGGACTCACTGCACACTCCTAGGCAGTGGAGTAACATGAAGAAAGTGGGGCTTAATGAGGATGAAACAATCCTTTCTTGGCATGCATAATTGCTACGTCTGGGTTCTTTTTATTCCAGAACATGCCTTTCTTTCCCTCTCTTCCACTTCCTCTGTGCTCTTCTTCCACATCTCTTTACCCAGTACAACAGTAAAGATTGAGAACTGCCACTTAGATACTGCAAAATCTTTAAAGTTACGGAAAGGTTTCGTTAATCTTTGGATGGTACTCTACCTCACCTCTACATCTGCAGTTAAAGAGTCTCCCAATTTTTCTAGAGTTCCAGCCAGAAACAGGTTCAGAAAGAGCCCTATGTATTATTCATGGGCATGAGAGATAAGGGTTACTGCAGAAAGTTAAAGGTTTCCCATGGTGGCTTGTTTCCAAACTGTTGACCAAAATAATGGGGCCCATCCCTTAGACACTGAAGCCCAGACACCTGTCTTACAAGACCACCATCTCAAATGAGGAAATCACAGACCCCAGAGACATGACCAGAAATATGTCCACTACAGAGATGCTGGGATAAACGGCATTTCTGTTGTGTAAAAAGACACACCACCGGAGCTCTCCTAAATGAGGCAAGAACTCCCCACAGTGCTGAAAGCGCCAAGCGATCCAGAAACTCTGGGTAATTGAAAGGTTCTCAAGACTTCTGTCAGAGCTTGGGACTAGAAATACAATCTATAACAGGGTGTAAGAAAATACAGATGGGATGAAGACTTTCCATAGCGTTCCCCAGATACACCATTCAAGGCTCTTCTCAGAATTATCTTCTCTTCCCTGCTGAATTTCCAAACAGACACGGCTGTTTGGTCACTTGGCATTAATAGCTACCATCACTAAAGCTGGAATGCTTGTATTTTATGTTTCACAGTAGAATTATACTAGTTAAAAAAAAAAATAGAAAAGAAACACCTAAAACAGGTAAAATAAGTCAGTACCCAGGAATTCCACAACTAACAGGATAAGGGGAAGTTTTGCTTTGGTCATTATATTTTAAGAATAAGCATAACTTGTTTCTTTATTAAATGTGTAAAGAAAAGAGTTGAATTCACGAGCCAACTAAAAGCTGATTTGCTTTTTACTATTGCCATCTACTGTCATCTGGTAAATGGCTTTCCTACTAAGGTTAAAACAGTGTAATTCTAGATTGGACCCAGCAGATGGCAACACCAGACCAATAAATCAACTCTTCCGCAAAAGCAAAAAGAACCCGCAAATCATTGTCTATTTATAAACAAATATGAAATTACAATTGGGTCCAAAAGTCCTCAATTTTTATATTAGAATCAATCTTCTCCTGCAATAATCACTATTATGTTGGGCAAAGCTGAGGAAAGAACACCAAGGCAGCAACGCACCATACCTGTTAGGTTCTTGGACAAGAAGGGATCATTGAAAGACTTCACCTTCAGAATGTACCCATCAACATTACAAGCCAGAGCTACGTTATTTCAGTGAGATCTACGTTAATGACATCAAGGCTACATACCATGTGTAATCTCCTATAATACTGATCGTGTTGTGTGCATCAGCAGCCCAAGTGATGGGTCGTTGATTGAGAACCTGGCGTAGCGTGAAACGATGCTCTCCAGGGTCTTCAGTATTCACAAAGTACTCAAATACACCAGTCTGATCAGCAAAATTTGGGGCTTCACTAAAAAATGGGTCAACTGTTGAGAACAAAATGAATTCTCTGTTTAGTACCGAATCCTTATAGAGTCTCTCCTCTCAGGTATTTTATTGTATTTGAAAAGTTTTAAATAAGTAAATGATACCTACAGCCAAAGTTTTGGATTTAGGTTAATAAAGAGATAATTGATATTTATATCATCACTATTAAATCAATATGATCAGTGTTACACATTTAATCAATGTAACTGCTTAAGAGGAAAGATCATGAATTTCAGAGTAAGGTAGACCTGGGTTCAAATTCTAGCTCAGTGTCTCCCCATGAGCAAGTTGCTCAATTGCCTCAAGTTTCCTCATGTCCAAGTGGACAAGAAGAGAATTAAATGAAAGAATGTATATAAATCATGTACATAAGACAGCACCTAGCAAGGACTCTGTAAGAATAGTTTCATTTCTAACATCTGTCAAACATGGTTCTAAATCATTGGTCACAGTTATCCAATGAGAGAACATTAGAAAAGGTTCATTATATCAGAATTTATAAATCACAAATTTTTTTCTTTTACTAAAATGAAGCAAAAACCAGTTTGGGGCCTAAGCTATCTATCAACCTCCTCTTAGTTTTATTACATTACAGTCTTGCAATGACAAAGGCTAGAGAACAGCAATTTAGACATGCATCTTACAGCTATTTTGTGCTTCATGCTTTTTCAAGATCATCACATCATTTGAGAAATTAAGAACCCTATTAAGTAGTTCTAAAGCTTGGCTTATAGTTTATACCTTTAGTTTTTAGTTTATTTTACAGCCAGTTAAGATCATATATAGATTTAATTTAGAAATTTAGATTTAGGGTTTAGAAATGCCTTTGGTCTTCAGGTCACAGAAGAATTTGGGTGTTGACAGAAGTCCTTCAACCCCGTAACTAGATCACTTCCCACATAGATTTCATGAAGGCAAGATCTGCTTTTGCCAGCAGAGACCTGAGACTGATTGCGATGGCTGGCAATCATGGTTGGCAAAATTAATGGTCCATCAAAGAGACCATTTCAGAGTTGTAAGAAAACACAGCACCAAGGTCCCCTGAGGTTCACTGCCATCTGTACTACCTGAATCCTTAAGGAATAAGTATTATTCCTCACATAAGAGGACCCCAGCACACAGTCCAAAGAGCCTTGGACTCCAACCAACCAGGAGATCATTTCCCGGGCGAAGGAGCCGAGCCGGGACCCTGCAGCAGTGAGCAGGCAGCTGGCAGGAGTCTCCAGCCACAGTGGAACAAACAGCCCTGCAGCAACAGGGGGTTCAAGGGACTCCTTCCCTCCTTGTCTCCTCCAGCTACAGGTTTTAGGAGCAGAGAACTGAGCCACCTGACCCTGCCTGTGAGGTCCACCATCTATACAACTACACCTACCAGTCAACAAGTTTTGTCACCTACTGAGAGACTGAGGACTATAACCACATGACCACACCTCCTAACTGTTCAGTTTTCCTATATTACCTGTTGTCAAAAGCTTTTCCAATAGCTTTAGGATGGATCTTACTAGAAAGCCGGCAGAGTACAAATACAAAACTCCCGGGCACAGCTAGAGGGTGGAAGGTGAGCTGGATCACCCAAGGACAGCACAAGGGCCCTCGGCACTCTGGTTGCCAGCACACGGAAAGACAGGTATTCAAGTTCCTTAACCTCCACACAAGAGGAAAGTGTCCAAAGGGCTTTCACGAGATACGGATAATGGGGCAGTAGCAGTGTTACAAAAACAAGTTAGGATTGTAACTTCCATCCCGACAGTGCGGTCTGTGTTTTTCCAGGCCCTGAAAACAGGGTCCTCAAGCTGAGATCTACCTTGAAGCACCACGAAGTAAAGACTAGGCCACATTTCCACATGGAGATTTACAGCTCAATGGATGCGCTCTCCGCAGCCACTCCACCATGCACCGGGTCGGCAGGCAGAAATCTGCCCACAACTACTAAAAATGGAACCAAGTTAAGTTTGAGTGAAAAAACCTTACCAACATTGAAATCATCCTTGTAGCTACGAGGAAAGGGCTGGGATTTGGGGGGCAGCGTGTGCCTGCCTTTGCTGCCCGTGGTGAGGGTGGTGAGCGTGAACAGCTCATCCTCCTGCAGCTCCAGTGTGAAGGTGCCGCTGCTGTTGAGGAGCTGAAGAAAGAAGGGCCGTGGTCAAGGCCAGGGGCCCTGGCTCATCACATCTGTGAAAATAGCTTTTTAAAAATAAGCTTAAAGAAGGGTCAAATTCATTTCTGCCAGACCTTCCTAAGTACTTCTGGGGGTGACACGGAATCTATGACCTCGGAATCTTTTTTTAATTATTTAGAAGACTTTATAAAATTTCATACATTATAAGAAGGATTTTAAAAGAATTTCACATGTGGAGGGAAGGAGGACTAGATGATTCCAAATTTTATTTCTATTAGTCAATTGTTTTCCATTAACTCCTCAACGCTTGTGTCTATTCAATACAGGTAACAAAGAGATCTGCTTATTTATTTTTTAAGATTTTACTAAGCAGAAAAATCCATAAAGGCTCTTTGTTTACTCAGTTGTTAATCACGGAAAACCTTTTACCACAAAGAAAAAGGGTTCTACTCATTATACATTCAATATATATTTCAGTCAGCAAGTTAGGCTTATGTCACATTTATGATCTTGGCAACTTAATCTCTTTAAACCCCAATCTCCTCATTTACAAAAAGAGAAAGAAAATACATACCTCACAGGGCTCTTGTGAGAATTAAATGAGATGATGTTTATAAAGTACTCAGCTCAGTGAGTAACTTTTGAGAAACACTCTCTATATCATAGCTCTTCTATGATAAATGCAGACCTCTGAAGACACTGAAATCCTTTGCATAATTTTAATGCAGGCATTACATACATGCCCATTTTATGGAATTTGAGGTTTTTTTTCCTACTTTGAATGAAAGGAGTTTATATCATATCTTCACTTTAATAATAAATCATCGGTCAGATCTAGGAAATATCTAACACCATATTCTGGCTCAGGAATAATCCCAAATGATATCATTTTCCCCATGTCCCCATGGAGAAAATCATTTTATTATGCTATTTCTAGCAATTTGTTGTACAAAAGGTGGAAATCTTTCTTTTCTTTAATATTAATACGAAATGGATTCAATCACTGATAGTAACTAGTTGAATCACAGAACATTAATAATTATAAGAAAAAGAACAGATTCATGTCAATTAGGTGAAGGGATATGCTTGTTTAGACCAATTCATTCTTTGACACTTTCTGAGAAACCGCCAGGAGCTAAGCAGTATAGCCGCCACCTGAGATAAAAAACTAAATGCACAGGGCCCCCATCCTCAAGGTGTCCACTGTAGCAGAGGCGTTTAACTAGCTGAGCACATATGCCCAGCGGGCTGTCAGCTAAGTCTGGCGGAGCAAGCTCCAGAGGAAGAGACACCCGAGCTGAGTCTTACAGGATAACAAACGTGAGGAGATGACATTCTAGGAGGAAGAAAAAGCATGGACAAAGTCACAGAGGTACGTAAATTTGTGTGCCATGCTTTGAAAAATTCAAGTATCGTCTGTGAGGAGAGGCCAGTTTAGTAGGACACGCATACAAAAAGGAAAGCCGTCTTCTACTCCTTTAAGGTGATAACAAAGGTCCTGTACTACACTAAGGGATGGGAACTCACAGGAAAACTCAGAGGTGCTTTGAGCGGTGGAGCGACCACGCTCAGATCTGCGTCTAGATATACCACAGTAGCAGTGCACTGGGTGACCTGGAGGGAGTCAGGCTGAAGGCTGGGAAAAAGAAGGTAGCCTCTGCAACCCAGGAGAGAGGTAATGAGGAACTGAAACGAGCAGCGGCAGCGGAATGGAGAATGAGGAATGGGTGAGAGAAATCCGTGCCTGACAGAATCGTCTATGCTTGATCACTGGTCCTACATAAAGGGTGAGTGAGAAAGACTCAAGTGAGACTAATTACTGACTTGGGCAGCCAAGTGCTGGTGGTACCATTCATCAAGACAAACTAAATACCTAAAAAACAAACACACCTATAAATATAGACTTCTTACTGCTTGAAGAGGATTTCTATTTTTCAAACCAGTTGGGGACAACTTTCTCTCTATTATGCCTCAGCTATAAAATCAAATATAAAATTAAAACTTCTTAATTCATTGATCATATTTCTGTTCCCTTTTACTGTCACAAGGCTCAAAATATAGGAGTGTATTTTATAAAACTACCCATAGAGAATCCAATTGTTTAAAAAGATGTCGCTGAGATGGTTTTCCAAGCTTGGTATACCACACATGTAGCTCTGGTATTTCACTCTGAGGACAAAACACACACAAAAAAATGCATAGCTGAGTGACTCATCATACCCTCTTGGGGGATTTCCAAAATTAGCACCAGCAAGAATGAACCAATGACATCATGCACTCTATTTACCAAAAGACCCACCTCAAATTTTAAATAGTAACATTTTGAAAATAGGAAGACATTATTCAAGCAAATAGTGTATTTCCTATAAATACTATAAACTTTTGGTAAATGAGAAGATTTTAGTGCCTCTGCTTCAAAAATACTCATTATTATACCTGTATAAAATGCTTTTTAAGAATAGTCTGGTAGTAAAAAACAAGTATTATACAATCAGTAGTCAGAAAGGCACACTATTGTCTGTTTCAAATCTAAAAAGGCAGAAATAACAAGAATCTGGTGCCTTTTTTAATATATACAGAGTACTGTAAAGGTCAATGCTCAAAAGTTCCCTAGACTACACAATTGTTGTTACTACCAAAAAGAACAACTTTCTTGCAAGTGACTTTTGTTAAGTGTTCTTTAAAGCCACAGAAAGCTTTACCTCCTAGTGGCTCCTGTATAGTTTAACTAAATCCTGGCAGCAGAGGGAAGATGCCAGAGCACTTATCCATTCATATGCAAACTCTTATTAGCCCCTAACATAAAACCTCACTTAAGAATTGCTGGCCCATGATAAAATATACAAATTCTTTAATCAAAACCAAAATAAAAGACCCACATATTTACTTACAAAAGAACCCTTAAGAACGAAGGTAGCAAATTGGTGAGACACATTGAAATAAGGAAGAGGTGGCCGTATACATACAGAATGTTTATGGCTCTGAGGGGAAAAAAAGAAAATAACATAAGTTATGCAAATAACATACAAGCCACCTTAGGAAAAAGTAGTTAAACATTTAACAACCCAAGACTAACAGAAATGGCACCCACTAGGTGAGAAGTATAAATTTACTTCACATTTTTAAAGATTTTTTTGTGTGTCACTTTTATTGAATGTGTATTATCTGTGTCTCATCAAAATAAAGCTCAGTGGCATTCTGGCTGAATAAAACTTCAAATTTATGACTAAATCCCAGAGTCATCTATGGCACACACACTTATAAAAATCACTTTTTTAAGTGATTTCCAAGTAAAATACAAAAAGCAAACACTTGTGATATGTTCACTGAAAAGGACTCTCACTAAATATAGCCTTCAAATACATAACTAAAATCAACTAAATATATATAACAAATCGCACTGTCAACACAACTTTCTTTACTTGACACTATTATGCACTAGAATCAAAATAAGTATGAGATATAATCCTAATTTTAGAGGATTCAACAATCACACAGCACTTACAGTACAAGGTTCTCAGCCAGGCTTCATGGACAATCACAATTATAATTAGAGATTTCAATATCTCACTCTCAGTAATTGAGATACAACTAAACAGGAAAATCAACAAGAATACAGATAATTTGAACAACACTACCTGGATTGTCATCTATAAATCACTTCACCCAGCAACAGCAAAATGCACATTCTTTTCAAACACAAGGACCATTTCCCAAGGTACACCATATTCTTTGCCATAAAAGAAGTCTCAATAAATTCAAAAAGATTTAAGTCACACAAAGTATGCTCTCTGACAATGGAATTTAAAGCAGAAATAAATAACAGAAAAATCTCTAAAAAATTACAAATTAACTAGAAACTAACAAATTTATAAATAATCTACGGCTCAAAGAAAAAACTAAAATAAAAATGGAAATTGGAAAAAAATTTGAGCTGTATAAAAATAAAAAACACACATATCAGTATTTGTGGGAGCCCCTAAATAACTACACAGGAGAAATTTAGCATCAAACACCTCGATTAGAAAAAGAAAGGATTTGAGACTTCAGCTTCTACCTTAATATACTATGAAAAGAGCAAATTAAAACCAACTAAGCAGAACAAAGAAAATAATAAAGATCAAAGAAGAGCTCAATTAAACAAAACCCAGAAAAACAGAAGAGAATAATCAAGAAATCAAAAGCTGATTCTTTGAGAAAATCAATAAAACTAATAACTTTCCATCTACACTCATCAGGAAATCAGGACAAAAAGAAAATACAAATTATCATTACCATCAGTAAGAAAGGTGATATCACTACAGATTATACAGATATTAAAAGATTACTAGGGAGTAACATCAATAACTTAATGCCTGAAAGTTAAACAACTTGAATGAAATGGAAAAATTTCTTGAAAGACACAAAAACCCAAAGCTCACTGAAGAAATGGATAAACTGCATAGCTCTATATCTGTAAAGGAAGTTGAAATTATAGTTAAAAATATTACCACAAAGAAAACTGTAGCCTCAGATGGCTTTACTGGGAAATTCAAGACTTGAATTAAAGTATAACTCAAATAGGAAGTAAAAGCTAAGTCAGAGTTGTAAAAATCATGCCCCACATGTACACAAAACCCATCAACACAGGTCAGGAGACTTGCCTATTATAAACATAAGGTAACCTCTGTGCAATCATGAGCTGACCATTACCTAAGCAGAGGCTTCAGTTGTAATACATGATAAAGCTTATAAATTTTATAGAACTCATTGAGGAAATTCACTAATCAAATAAGCAACAAAGAATAAATACAAATGCTACAGACTGAAGAAAATCTGAACTCTAGAGTTGCTGCATCACATATGTAATATGACTAGTTTTCAACAAATAATTATTAGATTTTCAAAGAAACAGGAAAGAATGATCCATAGATGGGGAAAAAAGTCATCAACAGAAACTATCTGAAAAAGCCCAGACATTATATATTAGACATTAGACTTACTAGACAAAGACATTAAATCAGGTGCTTAAAGATGTTCAAAGAACAAAAGAACATTTCAAAAAAGATGTCAGAGTAGGAGGGCAAGGTTGCAAATCACCAATACACACACCAAGGAAGCAACTACAGCAAATGCAACTAACCCTGAAAATTACCTGAAGAATGCAGAACAGACCATCTACAGTCGGTGAAGAAGAGAAAAGACCACACAGGGTGAAGTGGCAAAGCTGCAATCAGTCAGAACCCAAGCCCTTCCCCCACCCCAGACCACAAGTGGAGGAAGCAGGGAGAGGATAAGTGTCAGGAACTCTGCACATCTGGCCCTGGAGATCTGCTCTGGGAACACAAGTTCATATTGCACTAGGCTTTGGTGATTAACAGGGCTGGACACAAGGGAGAGATGGAGGCTGAGGCTTCAGCTGCTTGTGGAGGGAAGGTATGCTCTGTCAGTCCCACTGAGACCCAAGACAGAAGCAGAAGTTTGAAAGATTTACCAGCAGTGGAAAGGATTCCAGAGAGGTGAGGGCAGGACTGAGCTCTCCTGGCAGGGGAAAGGGCAGGTAGACAGCTCCCCAGCCTTCCCTCAGCCCACTGGTTGGGCAGTCACAGAAGCCTCAAAGGTTAGTGGCTCAGCCATGACATGCTTCCCTGTGCACTGTGAGCACACCTTCCTGCTCGGCCCAGAAGTATCAGACCTTGCCACCCTGCAGGCAGAGGAAGGATTTCCCAGTTTTCTAGGCCTGTCTCAGCCCAATTAGAGAAGCACCTGCAGGAGCCAGCTCCAAGTGCTATTTCATCCTCATGGCCCAGACCCATGCCACACTCACCTGAGTACCTGCCCCACCCACCCTGCCAGCCCAGCAGCACTGCCATCACTGCAGGACAGGCAGAGGTGGCCCTGCCCATGACAGACCCAGTACAAGCACTGATGCTCAGCTCACAATGGGCCGGTTGAGGTGAGCAGCCAGGGACTAACATCAGCTACTGTTGACAGACAGGTAGAAAGGTCTCCCTGCCCATAGCCCACCAACAGCAACGGGAGGTCCTCTGCAAAGGAGAACCAGGCACTGGTGAGTAAAGAGTCCTGAGCTTCTGGGCACCACAGGATGCCTTCTTCATAAAGCCATTACTCTCTAGACCAGGAAGCACAGCAGACCCATCTAATACAAAGGGAGAAACACAGAAACCCTGACAAAATGTGGGGGCAGAGGAATATGTTCCAAATAAACTACAGGATAAGACACTAGAAAGAGGGCTAAATGAAATGGAGATCACCAATCTTCATGATAAAGATATCAACATAACACTTGTAAGTATGCTCACTGATCTGCAGAAAAATATTAAAGATCTCAGGGAGCTCAGGGAGGACTTCAAAAAAGATGTAGAAGAGCTGAAAAAGAGCCACTCAGAGCTGAAAAATACAATAACTGAAGTGAAACATACAATGGAGGGAATGAATAAGAGATTGCTGCAAGTAGAGGAGACAGTCCATGAGATGGAAATTAAAGGGTAGCAACACAACAAAGCTGAGGAACAGAGAGAAAAAAGAATCTCTAGAAATGAGAGGATGCTAGAACAGCTGTGTGACAACTCCAAATGAGACAATATTTGCATTATAAGGGTACCAGGAGGAGAAGAGAAAGATAAAGGTGTACAAAGTCTCTTTGAAGAAATAATTGCTAAGGAATTCTCCAATCTGGGGAAGGAAACAGACACCTAGGTCCTGGAAGCTCAGAGAGCCCCTAACAAAAAGAACCCCAGGAAGATAACACCAAGACATATAATAATTAAATGTGTGGAGGAGAAAGAAGAATAAAAAAGAAGTACTTTTAGATTGTGTTTGAAATAGAGCAAGCATCAACTTAATACAAACTGTTGTATATTTAGGAAACCATCCATGAACCATATGGTAACCACAAACGTAAAACCTGTAACAGACACACCAAAAAAAATTTTTTAAAGAGAAATCCAATCACAACACTAAAGGAAAACATCAGAAAAACACGAGAAGATATGACAAGAAGAAAGTAACAGAGAGGAACTTTAAAAAAAAACAGAAAACATTTAATAAAATGGCAATAAATACATACTATCAATAACTACCTTAAATATAAATGGACTGAATGCACCAATCAAAAGACAGAGGGTGGCAGAATGGATAAAGGAACAAGATCATAGGCTTCCTAGAAGAGACACATTTCAGACCTAAAGAGAGACACAGACTGAAAGTGAAGGCATGGGAAAATATACTTTATGAAAATAATAAGGAGAAAAAAGAAGCAGTGCTACTTCTATCAGACAAAACAGACTTCAAAATAAAGAAAGTAGTGAGACAAAAAAAAGACATTATATAATGATAAAGTGGTCAGGTCCAACAAGAGGAGATAACAATTATAAGTATCTATGTACCCAACATAAGAACACCTAAATATGTAAAACAAATACTATCAGAACTAAAGGGAGAAATTGACTGCAACTCAATCAGACTTGAACACCACTTAGATCAATGGACAGATTATTCAGACAGAAAATAAATAAACAGAGGCACTGAACAACGCATGAGATAAGATGGACTTAACAGATATCCACATATCATTCCACCCAGAAGCAGCAGGATACACATTTTTCTCAAGTGTACATGGGATATTCTCCAGAAGAGATCACATACTAGACCAAAAGAAGAGTCTCAATAAACTCAAAAGCTGAAATTGTATCAAGCAACTTCTCAGACAATAGTATGAAACTAGAAATAAACTATATAAAAAAAACAAAACAAAAAACACAAACACATGGAGGCTAAACAACACACTTCTAAATAATCAATGAATCAATGAACAACTCCAAGTAGAAATCAAGCAATACATGGAGACAAAAGAAAAAGATTACGACAATTCAAAATTTGTGGGACACTGCAAAAGCTGTTCTAGGAGAAAAGTACATAGCAATACAGGCTTACCTCAAGAAGCAACCACAATCCAAAATAAACAGTCTAAACTCACAAC